TTGTACACAGAGGGCTTCGGAACCCCATCCAGAATGGAAATGAAGCAAACAGATGGATTGTTAATCTATGCTTATGCTATTGATTGCTATCTATCGATCCCACCGTACTGTCATGAACTCTGATTACGTAAGGACACGGAAGAGATACTTATCTGAGGAAGCCTTGAAATGAGACTGAGATGAGGGAAGGGGAAATGTGGGAAGAGGACGACGTCAAGGGAAGACAGCATGGATATCAGACATTGACCTAATTCGAGTCGTACGAACAGTAGCATCCTCTTTCTCTGAGAAGGACTTTCTCTGGATGTTCAAATAATTCCTAATTCTTGTGCAAGTCTTTTTCTGCTATCTCTATCAACTTTTGAAAATTCTGAGAACACAAATATTTTTTTCCAGCTTTCCTTGGTGTTGTAGGTTCTCTGCACGTGTCGTCCTTAAAATTGTCTTTTAAAGCACTACATGTATGATGCGATCTGGATAGCATGCAAACAGCAGAACGAAGGTGTTTCCTCTACTAATCTATCAGCATGCGCTCCTGTCCACTGCAACAGTTTCCAACTTCTTTGAAATATGGCTATAACAGCCTTGCCTTGCCACAATGCATTTGAATGAAACTCCACAAATCTCGTGAAAACATATAAGCCTATGCGCATTGTAAGTTTTGCGCTAATAGCTATAGTCAGAGCAACGTGACGTCTATACACAGCAGCAAGAACGGGTTTCATTTGACTTCTCCTTCAACTGGATGACCTGAATGAAAAGAAAAACGGATCTTTAGGGTGTATTTCCACCCATGGACACTAGCATAAGTAACGAAATACCAGGATAAAAATCGATTGATGAGGTACTGCAGGAGATAGAGCAGCGAACTAACAGGCATCTACAGTACTGTAGAAGGGAAAACTAGAAACTCTCCCATCTTCTTCTACTAGGGTTGGGTTTAAGTATCACTTAGCTGGAGGATGAACGTGAATACAGAACATCTAGGGGATCCCTAATTTTCTTTAATTAGAGTCCTTTAACAGTTAGGGAAGCGATGTGAATACGGGCCTAACAGCTTATGTGCAAATTCAGGGTATACTAGACTGATCAAAAAGGAACGGAACTTTGGCTGTAGCTCATATATTACTCGTCGAAATCATTGACCACTAGGCAGGCGTTAACTATGTTCACTTTGAGATTCATGGAAAAATTTTCAGCGGTCTTTCGTTTAAGGAACTCTGTTGGTGATAAAAAGAAATTGTCATGGTCAGTAACTTTCGGCGGATTTTACTAGTAGGTATATTGCCACGTGAGTTATATATACACAGAACGGTGCACGATGCTGCATTGGAACACATCTGGAACAACTGTGAACTAGTATTTAACACGTTTTCGGTAGACTCTCAGGGGAAACTTTTTCAACTGAGTGCATCCACTCAAACACCATTTCCATGCATTCCCTACTCCTATCGAAAGTGAAAGAATCATGCACTTTTTCAAAGTTTGTACACAGAGGGCTTCGGAACCCCATCCAGAATGGAAATGAAGCAAATAGATGGATTGTCAATCTATGCTTATGTTATTGATTGCTATCTATCGATCCCACCGTACTGTCATGAACTCTGATTACGTAAGGACAAGGAAGAGATACTTATCTGAGGAAGCCTTGAAATGAGACTGAGATGAGGGAAGGGGAAATGTGGGAAGAGGACGACGTCAAGGGAAGACAGCATGGATATCAGACATTGACCTAATTCGAGTCGTACGCTTATAAAGCAGGAACGATGCGTTCATAGCTCATCAGGATCACAGAATTCGTGGAAGAAACACCTGGCAAGATGGTCAGTACTTCTCCATTCCAAATCTTGTTCTTCATTCTTTCGACGCTCAGCTTCGTCAACCCCTTGAACCGTAAGTCTGAATACCACAATCCTGACCAGACGTCTTTCTTGCTAAATTGAACGCCGAGGACTGAGAAATTTATTCTGTGACACTCAAGTGGCAGTGCTGAAGGAATGCGGAAAACTGAAGCGAACAGGTAAGATCGTGGGAGGAACTGAAGCGAGCAGAGATGAGGCACCTTGGATAGTCTCTCTCAAATTGAAAACTAAGGGGAAACACATCTGCGGTGGTACACTCATCAGTGAGAGATTCGTCCTTACTGCCGCCCATTGCGTCCAAGGGTAAGGACTACTTATTGTAGAAGTTTCATGGCACCTACTAGAAGCCTCGTGGGGAGAATTGCCTCAATTGGACCTAGACACGACTGTCAGAATCCTTTCACAGATAAGGGCTGAAACCATAAAATATCTTTCGTCAGGGAATTGGCTCGCCAGATACAAGTTACCATACGGGATCATCGCATAAAGGAACAACAGGAGAAACTGCCATCATACGTAATGAAACACGATAAAGTGATTCGCCATGCGGGTTATTCCAGCGTCACCCATCATCATGACATTGCCCTGATCCGCCTCAAAGAACCTGTGGTGTGGGATGACCTCACAGAGCCTGCGTGCCTTCCTGACTCCGAAGACACCGACTTTCATGGACTTTCGGGTATTGTTGCAGGATGGGGAAGATTATCCGAGGGTAAGTTAGCTTTGCCATTTCACAATAATAATCTATTCGCTCTGTTATCCCCAAGGTCTCCCCACGTATACGCCATTTCATGAAAAGGCGTATTCATGGGAAGGTCTCCGTTCAGAGACAACATAATCAGCCATTGAGCTTGATACTTATCTCTCTAGACTAGCTTGATTCTTCTTCCCATACAGCAATGCATGCCATTTTAACTGATATCGATCAAGTGGGTGAAATTAGCAACCCGCATCGCGTACAGCTCATGTAACCTTTTGCTTTTTGTTTGACCGTGCTCACTACTAGCTCTCAGCTGACGTAACTCGTCTTATTGTACAGTAGTTACTGGATTCTTTGCGTTAGCTAAAGGAGCATGCGATGGCTCTTAAGGGGTGAATAAATTTCATCAACATAGCTCAACTCATTCATGCTGTTGCTTATTTGGTAGTGAGTAACATGATTGAATCTTCATAATTATTTTCCCTGATTCGCTGGATCTTTCCCTATGGTTGCTGAAAGCAGGAGGGCTATCACCCGTGACGCTAATGAAAGTTACTGTACCGATTTTGGAGAATAACAAATGCAAGACCTTGATGGCCCAACATTTCAACATCATTGAGAGACAGATCTGCGCCGGGTTTGATTTCGGACTCTATGATGCCTGCCAGGTATATCAACTCTGTACTTAGTGGTATGCAGCCCTCAAGAACTAAGATAATGTGCAATACTAGAGCGATGATTGACCTTTGGAAGGCTCGATGTAACCATTCCGCATGAACGTTTCAGGGGGACAGTGGTGGACCGATGGTGGTGCGCAAGAACGGGAGGTACATCGTGGCTGGGATAGTGTCAGTAGGCGTTGGATGCGCCCGACCTAAACTTCCTGGCGTTTACACTAACGTAGCACAATACCTTGACTGGATCGTAGAAAACGCCAAGGTGTAAGAAGCAAAGGCATTACCTTGTATGAATCGATTCAAATGATATATTTGTATGTTTTACCAAGAAATTTTAATTTAAAAAATGCTATATCAAGTCTGAGAGAGTCTTTCTCTTCACACGCCATCTCCGACTGCCAGTTCCCTCTTGGCATGGCAAGTGTAAGCCGTGGCAGGCAAGCTGGGAAAGTTTGAGCTCGTGAATTAAAATATCAGGTATGGCCCACAGTGCCAGAAACAGCAGGCTAAACTGGGAACAGGAATTGTAAATGAGACCGGGTGTTGCTTCGGTGTCTTCTCTGATTACAAAACATTGTCATAATACGATTCTGAAGCCTACGTCTACCGGCCATCGTAGCCTGTCGGCCACAGTTGACGAGAGCGTGACGAATCGGGCGCAATGATGCATGACCAACTCCGCATGATTTCATTGAGACTCAGTATGGATCTCACTGCCGTCATGAAGTCTCTACTACAGTATATACTGTATATCTTGGCAAATTTGCAGGATTCGTCTTCCAAACAAAGAAATAAGCACAAGCTTGCACTTATGACGACAGCTGACGCATTAAGATAATGAATTACGGAAGTGGTGTTATAATTGGATCGCTAATGCCCTGAACGACTCTTCAGACTATTTATACAAATATGAACATTTCACGGAAAGAAGGTCCGAATCAGAATCACTTCCTGGAGATTGGTAGTTCGAAGACTCATAAATGTGATAATTGCCCGATCCATCCCTACCTGCAATAAAATACGAGTACTATTATAATGGTAATATGAGATACTGTTGAATTCTTCCCCTACTTCTTTCCCCTACTGTCATCTTCAATTAAGCCAACCTTGGGAATAGGGAAGAACGTAGAGGCGAAGAGCGAAGCCTATAGGATATAAGCGGACATGAAATGAACTCAACATTCAGCTGAAGATTTATTTATTCTAAATGCAGCAGCGTGACTCATGCAAGATTAGAGGATGAAAGGAAAGGAGGGAAGAAAAATAAAAAGACCTTTCGAAATCAATCTAGCTAATTCTCCAAGCTTTATAACTTTGAGATCCTTAAAAAAAAAAGCACATGAAACATCCCAAATTTGAATAAATAATAGCTATACAAGGGGTCAGCACAGCTCGGCATCTTCTCGAACTTCACGATCAGACTTCACGATCGAGCCCAATAAACAAATTGCTCGATAGATAGCGATTCTTGGCACAGAATTCCAGTCTTTCCTTGCTTTTTCCATGCACTTCAGCTTTTCTGCAGAACACTCGACATTGTGCGGATGTCTTGGTCCTGTCACACGAACACACGAAACTATCGGTTGTATGCAGAAGCGTCTTGCACGGGAAACGCAAATGCGAGGGAAGATTAACGGAAATCCTGCCACGGTCAGTTACACTATCACAATTGGCGCATGCGCGACATGGATGTCTCCATGACCAAGCGACGTCGAACCGAAAGCACTACTCAGGGCAAATGATATCACCACATTCTTTTGCATGGAAGTTTGAATGAAATAAGCTCATCATGACCTTTGATGAGCGTGCTCCTTTAGGCATTCAGAGGCTCTGCTAATTATGGAATGCGAGATTTATGATAAAGCATGGAAGGAAAGAGTTATCAAAGATATTATCGATGCTAGAAAGATCCTTACATTCTTTTGAAATTAAAAGACGATCTTTCACAGCCACATTTGCTATATTCAAGCAATTTTTTCCGCGTGTTGGATAATCAATCCACTAACTCTGAATAGAGTACATGAAACAACTTGCGAAGAGTATCTTGGAACTCGATTGAGGAAGTACTTGAAAAAAGTAAAGAAAACTGTTCTGTGAGTTGATGAATATCTAATTAATTTGAAGAACTATGCTATCATTTCACTGGTGGTATTGATACTGATGATAATTTTAAGAACTAAATTTAGTCGAAAAAAACATCGTTAAGAGTTAAGGTTCGTGAAGTATTGAGTTGGGTAGAAAGTCTTGCAACACTCTGCGCAAATTTTTCAAAATTTTATAACTTTATTGAAATGCAATTTCAGTCTACAATGTAAATACATTGGAAAACGAAAAACAAACTGGCACGAGTGATGATCGAGAGTCGACTGCATTGAGCAGAATAACATGTCATCAATGACCTAAGAAACGCAATCGATTTCCTCGTACGCTACCGAGAATTCCCCTGAAGAAATTTCATCAACATAGCTCAACTCCTTCATGCTGTTGCTTATTTGGTAGTGAGTAACATGATTGAATCTTCATAACTATTTTCCCTGATTCGCTGGATCTTTCCCTATGGTCGCTGAAAGCAGGAGGGCTATCACCCGTGACGCTAATGAAAGTTACTGTACCGATTTTGGAGAATAACAAATGCAAGACTTTGATGGCCCAACATTTCAACATCATTGAGAGACAGATCTGCGCCGGGTTTGATTCCGGACTCTATGATGCCTGCCAGGTATATCAACTCTGTACTTAGTGGTATGCAGCCCTCAAGAACTAAGATAATGTCCAATACTCGAGTGATGATTGACCTTTGGAAGGCTCGACGTAACCATTCCGCATGAACGTTTCAGGGGGACAGTGGTGGACCGATGGTGGTGCGCAAGAACGGGAGGTACATCGTGGCTGGGATAGTGTCAGTAGGCGTTGGATGCGCCCGACCTAAACTTCCTGGCGTTTACACTAACGTAGCACAATACCTTGACTGGATCGTAGAAAACGCCAAGGTGTAAGAAGCAAAGGCATTACCTTGCATGAATCGATTCAAATAATATATTTGTATGTTTTATCAAGAAAACTTCATAAAAAAAAAATGCTATATCAAGTCTGAGACAGTCTTTCTCTTCACACGCCATCTCCGACTGCCAGTTCCCTCTTGGCATGGCAAGTGTAAGCTGTGACAGGCAAGCCGGGATAGTTTGAGCTCGTGAATTAAAATATCAGGTATGGCCCACAGTGCCAGAAACAGCAGGCCAAACTGGGAACAGGAATTGTAAATGAGACCGGGTGTTGCTTCGGTGCCTTCTCTGATTACAAAACATTGTCATAATACGATTCTGAAGCCTACGTCTACCGGCCATCGTAGCCTGTCGGCCACAGCTGACGAGAGCGTGACGAATCGGGCGCAATGATGCATGACCAACTCCGCATGATTTCATTGAGACTCAGTATGGATCTCACTGCCGTCATGAAGTCTCTACTACTGTATATACTGTATATCTTGGCAAATTTGCAGGTTTCGTCTCCCAAACAAAAAAATAAGCACATGCTTATGACGATAGGTGACGCATTAAGGTAATGAAATCACGGAAGTGGTGTTATAATTGGATCGCTGATGCCCTGAACGACTTTTCAGACTATTTATACAAATATGAACATTTCATGGAAAAAAAGGCCCGAATCAGAATCACTTCCTGGAGATTGGTAGTTCGAAGGCTCATAAATGTGATAATTGCCCGATCCATCCCTAGCTGCAATAAAATACGAGTACTATCATAATGGTAATATGAGATACTGTTGAATTCTTCCCCTACATGTCATCTTCAATTAAGCCAACCTGGGGAATAGGGAAGAACGTAGAGGCGAAGAGCGAAGCCTATAGGATATAAGCGGACATGAAATGAACTCAACATTCAGCTCAAAATTTATTTTTTCTAAATGCAGCAGCGTCACTCATGTAATATTAGAGGATGAAAGGAAAGGAGGGAAGAAAAATAAAAAGACCTTTCGAAATCAAACTAGCTAATTCTCCAAGCTTTACAACTTGAGAGAACCTTAAAAAAAAAGGCACATGAAGCATCCCAAATTTTAATAAATAATAGCTATACAAGGGGCCAGCACAGCTCGGCATCTTCTCGAAGGAGACTTCACGATCGAGCCCAATAAACAAATTGCTCGATAGATAGCGATTCTTGGCACGGAACTCCAGTCTTTCCTCGCTTTTTCCATGCACTTCAGCTCTGCTGCAGAACATTCGACATTGTGCGGATGTCTTGGTCCTGTCACACGAAACTATCGGTTGTATGCAGAAGCGTCTTGCACGGAAAACGCAAGTGCGAGGGAAGATTAACGGAAATCCTGCCAAGGTCAGTTACACTATCACAATTGGCGCATGCGCGACATGGATGTCTCCATGACCAAGCGACGTCGAACCGAAAGCACTACTCAGGGCAAATGATATCAGCACATTCTTTTGCATGGAAGTGTGAATGAAATAAGCTCATCTTGACCTTGGATGAGCGTGCTCCTTTAGGCATTCAGAGGCTCTGCTAATTATGGAAAGCGAGATTTATGATAAAGCATGGAAGGAAAGAGTTATCAAAGATATTATCGATGCTAGAAAGATCCTTACATTCTTTTGAAATTAAAAGACGATCTTTCACAGCCAAATTTGCTATATTCAAGCAATTTTTTCCCCGTGTTGGATAGTCAATCCACTAACTCTGAATAGAGTATATGAAACAACTTGCGAAGAGTATCTTGGAACTCGATTGAAGAAGTACTTGAAAAAAGTAAAGAAAACTGTTCTGTGAGTTGATGAATATCTCATTAATTTGAAGAACTATGCTGTCATTTCACTGGTGGTATTGGAGTAACTCCAATACTGATGATAATTTTAAGAACTAAATTTAGTTGAAATAAACATCGTTAAGAGTTAAGGTTCGTGAAGTAAAATAATTTTCTTACATATCTGGAGATCGATATGTAGCTGATACGGGGCATTGATATTGCTTGATATGCGAAGATGAAGTTGGGTCACGAGAGGGCATAAAGGTCGAAACAATCCTTTTTCCCAGGAGACTCCCGAGTGCGAAATCTGCATCCTTGGTCACGTCCTTTCTTCTCGTAGGCCAACTTTTGACAGGGCTTGGTTGGAACAATCTAGGAATTTTTATAAAGAGGATCTAGCATCCTTGTACCCTTCCGCAGGTGGGAAAGGAAAAGGTATACCCGATGCTGAAACTCGCACAGATTTTGGATTCTTTCATGAAAGAAAATATTCATACTTCTACGCAATAGCACTTCTCAGCACTCTTAAGCCCACCTGACGTACTACCTGAACTTAGAGTTCCAAGTGACTTCCTGCGCATGGGTGGAGAAGCAGATTACAACCGCCCCTTTACAGAGAGTGAAGTGATCAAAACAATCCTCACCCGGCCGAACAAGAAAGCAACAGGCTCTGATCTACTTTCATATGAACACCTAAAGGGTAGCCTTGACGTCACTGCCCGCCTCTGGACGAACATCTACAACCAATGCTTGAAGGAAGGGAGAATCGTTGCAGACTGGAAAAACAGCACGACTAAAGTCCTCTACAAAGAAGCCGCCTTATATACCCCGAGGGCAGAAGCTTCGAGAACATTGCATATACAAGTGCCCATCATTCCTTTGAAAATTTTTATAAATAGTTTTAGAAAGTGTTGCAAGACTTTCTTTCCAACCCAATATTTCTAGAACTGATCGAGCAGAGAGGGTTGAAATGAGATCATAAGTAAGTGGCCGCTTTAGGAGATGGAAATGAGACCAAGAAATTCTTTTATTTTTTTTTGTCTTTATGCTTTTAAACAAAATTTTTTGCTTGCTTTTTTCATATTTTTTTTAAATAATTTTTTTATATTTTAAATTTTCATTACAAGATAAGAAAAAGGGAGGAATAAGATTATAGAGGAGAGAGAAGTATGGCATAGTGCCATTAAAGAGTCATAGTCCGGTTTATTTCCGTCCAGCAGAAAAAAAGCACTGATAGGAACGGAAGTGAGTCGTTGTCTTGGGTTCGCGTCGAAAGTGAGGTGTTCGGCGGGCGTTATGCTGCAGAAGAAAAGCACTGCAGCGCTAGGGTCAACTTCTGACAGGAACGAAGGTCACGGGATAGAGATCAAGTTTGAGACACTTCGACCTCCATGTTGCAGGAAAAAAAAAAACCACTGCAGAGCACGGGAAACGAAGTCAGGTTTCGTCGCTGGTCCTTCCAAGGGGTTGCATAATCATATTATAAGGATAGGTTTTAGTATGCTTAAAGCGCCCGATTCTGCATTTTTTATTTAGTCTGATAGGGATATCTGTATGTCTCCTGGCCTCTTAGGGTCGTTATAATAATCAAAGGCATATTGAAGCATATTGAGGGAGGGATTGGAGTCCGCTTATCTATATACAGCACCTCGAACATCTAATACATATAGACGATCGTGACTGACTGAGTGACTGACGCTAATTCTAACCATGTTCTAGAGAAGTTAGAAATCTGAAACTTGGTACACATGTTCCTTCTGGGATGCACAGTTCAGATAAAATCCGACTTCGGAGGTACATGCTCTGGGGGCACCCATTTTGGGGGTAGAGATGTTTTCAATGGTATATATTTGCTTCAGTCAAACGGAGAGACATGGAAAACTGAAATATGGCATGGACGGGTCAGCCCGAATGCGATGCTGAGCCCCATTTCAAGGATTCATTGTAGGGCTGGGTGCCATGGACATTCGACTCATTCTGCGCAACAACGTTGGGTCAACATTGGGAAATAGTTGAAATGTTGAGATGTGGTTCAAGGAATGAGTTGTGTCATTCAAGTACTGAACTCCAGTTCTGCTCCAGTAAAATAAGTTATTCGGATGGACCCTTCCGCGGAATAACAACATTCATTAGAGTACTTTCAAGCTCTAATCAATATTAGCGCGAGTTCAGGCTCAGGAAAAGGAGGAGGTAATTCCCAAACGTTGACAAACCAACGCTTGCACAACGGGCCACATGATCGTGTCAACGTTGAACTGTGTTTCATTTCAACGTTGAGGCAACATAAAATCCCCCTTTCACATATTGTTGTGGTAACATTTCCACGTTGAAAACCAACCCTCCCTCAACCTTGACCCGACGTTGTTGACCGAATCGGTAAGCTTAACAATGATAAAATATTGCCACACAAGATATCGTTGCGGATGAAATTGCGAGCATGTTGTGCATGCTAACGTCTGCCTGAGTGCGTTTCAGTTCTGTCCCTCTGAGCCAGGGGTGTGCAACCTCTTATGTAGTGGGCCGCATGAGTATATCTCACTCTGCTCGCGGGGCCATTCAATCCGAAAGAATAGGTTTTCCACTCTCTCCCCCCCCCCCCCCCCCCCCCACCCTCTTTCTTCTGTTAAATCAGGGAACACATATTTTTCTAGACCAAGATCTTTATTATTAGTCTTCTTTTTTTTAAATCTATTTTCAAATGTTGCCTTTATTAGTGCGAAACTTGACACTGTTTCTCCTGGACCAGTGAGTCGATGTCGGGTTTGATGTTTGTACTGGCCACTCGCAGACAACTTTGCCGTCATCCGTCAGTCTGCTTCTCATCTTAGATTTTGCCAGTTTCATCTTCGAGAACAGCTGTTCGCACTGATAGGTGCTCCTGAAAAGAGACATCATCTTCAACACATGACCAATGAGGCGGGGAAAGTCTTTCTTGGGTACATATGCCTGATAAAATCGTGTGAGGGGGACGTCACGGAATTTAGCTTTCAGTTCCGTATTGCACTGGAGATCCACCAGCTCCATTTGTAACTCCTCAGGTACTGCATCTACGTCCACGTCGAAAGGGCAGGAGAAGATGCGAATGGCCTGTTCATGTTTCCTGAACTCCTGAAATCTTCTACTGAACTCTTCTCTCAGAGATGAAACTTCGTCGGCGTACTTAGAAGTTTCCGCCTCCTCACCTTCCGCACGATGGTTTAGCGTTGGAAAATGCGCCAGGTTG